TTGTGACGCGCTTATCTTATGCGGTGAAATAGTTTATTAGGCGGTGAATTGCGGTGAAGAATATAGGCCGTTCGCGGCAACTTAGAACGCCATGATGGCAGCACTTTGCTTGCGATAGTAACTTCTAGTATTTGCTTATACTGTATGTTGTATTTGAGCCAAAGTATGCGGTATACCACACTCAATTTGACTCTTTAAACTATTTGGCAGCTTCTCTCAAACAGCCAAAAATAGTACGCGAGTTGAAATAAAACACCTCAAATAATATCGAACGGAATTAAGTGTTAGAAATGATTGGATCTCTTCGAGCCAGGTTCAACATACCAATATTTCCAACTACTTGCAAAGCGATTTCTCATATGAAGATGTAAAAAGAATAAAAACAGCTGGATAGAAATAAAAGGAAAAAATATTGAAAATATTAACTCAACGCGACTCGAACTCAAAGGTTTGTCGAGACAGTCCAAACAACCTACCACTAAGCCACCGAGAGAGAACGAAAGTTTATGTCAAATTAAACACTATAGCTAATTGTCGTCACGCGCTTATCTTATGCGGTGAAATAGTTCATTAGGCGGTGAATTGCGGTGAAGAATATAGGCCGTTCGAGGCAATTTAGAACGCCATGATGGCAGCACTTTGCTTGCGATAGTAATTCTAGTATTTGCTTATACTGTATGTTGTATTTGACCCAAAGTATACGGTATACCACACTCAATTTGACTCTTTAAACTATTTGGCAGCTTCTCTCAAACAGCCAAAAATAGTACGCGAGTTGAAATAAAACACCTCAAATAATATCGAACGGAATTAACTGTTAGAAATGATTGGATCTCTGCGAACCAGGTTCAACATACCAATATTTCCAACTACTTGCAAAGCGATTTCTCATATAAAGATGTAAAAAGAATAAAAAAGCTGGATAGAAATAAAAGAAAAAAATATTAAAAATATGAACTCGACGCGATTCGAACTCAAAGGTTTGTCGAGACAGTCCAAACGACCTACCACTAAGCATCCGAGGGAGAACGAAAGTTTATTTCAAATTAAACACTATAGCTAATTGTCGTCACGCGCTTATCTTGTGCGGTGAAATAGTTTATTAGGCGGTGAATTGCGGTGAAGAATATAGGCAGTTCGCGGCAACTTAGAACGCCATGATGGCAGCACTTTGCTTGCGATAGTAACTTCTAGTATTTGCTTATACTGTATGTTGTATTTGAGGCAAAGTATACGGTATACCACACTCAATTTGACTCTTTAAACTATTTGGCAGCTTCTCTCAAACAGCCAAAAATAGTACGCGAGTTGAAATAAAACACCTCAAATAATATCGAACGGAATTAAATGTTAGAAATGATTGGATCTCTTCGAGCCAGGTTCAACATACCAATATTTCCAACTACTTCCAAAGCGATTTCTCATATGAAGATGTAAAAAGAATAAAAACAGCTGGATAGAAATAAAAGGAAAAAATATTGAAAATATGAACTCGACGAACTCAAAGGTTTGTCGAGACAGTCCAAACGACCTACCACTAAGCCACCGAGGGAGAACGAAAGTTTATGTCAAATTAAACACTATAGCTAATTGTCGTCACGCGCTTATCTTATGCGGTGAAATAGTTTATTAGGCGGTGAAGAATATAGGCCGTTCGCGGCAACTTAGAACGCCATGATGGCAGCACTTTGCTTGCGATAGTAACTCCTAGTATATTGCTTATACTGTATGTTGTATTTGACCCAAAGTATACGGTATACCACACTCAATTTGACTCTTTAAACTATTTGGCAGCTTCTCTCAAACAGCCAAGAATAGTACACGAGTTGAAATAAAACACCTCAAATAATATCTAACGGAATTAAGTGTTAGAAATGATTGGATCTCTTCGAGCCAGGTTCAACATACCAATATTTCCAACTACTTGCAAAGCGATTTCTCATATGAAGATGTAAAAATAATAAAAACAGCTGGATAGAAATAAAAGGAAAAAGTATTGAAAATATGAACTCGACGCGACTCGAACTCAAAGGTTTCTCGAGACAGCCCAAACGACATACCACTAAGCCACCGAGGGAGAACGAAAGTAATTATAATGATCGGACGGGTAAGGATTCATTTGCATATACGTATACTGTCTCAAAGTTTATATGTCAAAATGTGCTTCAAAATTTTCCTTAGCGAAAACTTTCTGCATCATTATGCGTTTTGAACATTTCTAAGTCGGTCCATGACGAAAAAACTTTTTCGATCAGCTCGAAATTTTCTAAGTCTCAAACTTTAGTTGACTCAAGATTGATCCCACGGGTAACGGGTAAGAGTAAAAGTATATATAATGATCGGACGGGTAAGGATCAATTGCATATACGTATACTGTCTCAAAGTTTATATGTCAAAATGTGCTTTAAAATTTTCCTGAGACAAAACTTTCTGCATCATGCGTTTTGAACATTTCTAAGTCGGTCCATGACGAAAAAACTTTTTCGATCAGCTCGAAATTTTCTAAAAAATTGTCTCAAAGTTTAGTTGACTCAAGACTGATCCCACGGGTAACGGGTAAGCCTAATAGTATTTATAATGATCGGACGGGTAAGGATTCATTTGCATTTACGTATACTGTCTCAAAGTTTATATGTTAAAATGTGCTTTAAAATTCTCCTGAGCCAAAACTTTCTGCATCATTTTGTCTTTTGAACATTGCTAAATCAGTCAATCACGAAAAAACTTTTTCGATCTGCTCGAAATTTTCTAAGTCTCAAACTTTAGTTGACTCAAGATTGATCCCAAGGGTAACGGGCAAGCCCAATAGTATTTATAATGATCGGACGGGTAACGATTCATTTGCATATACGTATACTGTCTGAAAGTTTATATTTCAAAATGTGCTTCAAAATGTTCCTGAGCCCTTACTTTCTTCATCATTATGCCTTTTCGACATTTCTAAGTCAAGCCAAGACGAAAAAGTTTATTCGATCAGTTCAAAATTTCCTAAGTCCCAAACTTTAGTTGACTCAAGATTGATCCCACGGGTAACGGGCAAGCGTAATACTATTTATAATGTAGGACGGGTAAGGATTCATTTGCATATACGTATACTGTCTCAAAGTTTATATGTCAAAATGTGCTTTAAAATACTCCTGAGCCAAAACTTTCAGCATCATTATGCGTTTTGAACATTTCTAAGTCGGTCCATGACGAAAAAACTTTTTCGATCTGCTCGAAATTTTCTAAGTCTCAAACTTTAGTTGACTCAAGATTGATCCCACGGGTAACGCGTAAGCCTAATAGTATTTATAATGATCGGACGGGTAAGGATTCATTTGCATATGCGTATACTGTCTCAAAGTTTATATGTCAAAAAGTGCTTTAAAATTTTCTTGAGACAAAACTTTCTGCATCATGCGTTTTGAACATTTCTAAGTCGGTGCATGACGAAAAAACTTTTTCGATCAGCTCGAAATTTTCTAAGTCTCAAAGTTTAGTTGACTCAAGATTGATCCCACGGGTAACGGGTAAGCCTAATAGTATTTATAATGATTGGACGGGTAAGGATTCATTTGCATATACGTATACTGTCTCAAAGTTTATATGTCAAAATGTGCTTTAAAATTTTCCTGAGACAAAACTTTCTGCATCATGCGTTTTGAACATTTCTAAGTCGGTCCATGACGAAAAAACTTTTTCGATCAGCTCGAAATTTTCTAAGTCTCAAAGTTTAGTTGACTCAAGATTGATCCCACGGGTAACGGGTAAGCCTAATAGTATTTATAATGATCGGACGGGTAAGGATTCATTTGCATATACGTATACTGTCTCAAAGTTTATATGTTAAAATGTGCTTTAAAATTCTCCTGAGCCAAAACTTTCTGCATCATTTTGTCTTTTGAACATTGCTAAATCAGTCAATCACGAAAAAACTTTTTCGATCTGCTCGAAATTTTCTAAGTCTCAAACTTTAGTTGACTCAAGATTGAACCCAAGGATAACGGGCAAGCCCAATAGTATTTATAATTATCGGACGGGTAAGGATTCATTTGCATATACGTATACTGTCTGAAAATTTATATTTCAAAATGTGCTTCAAAATGTTCCTGAGCCCTTACTTTCTTCATCATTATGCCTGTTGGACATTTCTAAGTCAAGCCAAGACGAAAAAGTTTATTCGATCAGTTCAAAATTTCCTAAGTCCCAAACTTTAGGTGACTCAAGATTGATCCCACGGGTAACGGGTAAGCGTAATACTATTTATAATGTAGGACGGGTAAGGATTCATTTGCATATACGTATACTGTCTCAAAGTTTATATGTCAAAATGTGCTTTAAAATACTCCTGAGTCAAAACTTTCAGCATCATTATCCGTTTTGAACATTTCTAAGTCGGTCCATGACGAAAAAACTTTTTCGATCAGCTCGAAATTTTCTAAATCTCAAAGTTTAGTTGACTCAAGATTGATCCCACGGGTAACGGGTAAGCCTAATAGTATTTATAATGATCGGACGGGTAAGGATTCATTTGCATATACGTATACTGTCTCAAAGTTTATATGTTAAAATGTGCTTTAAAATGCTCCTGAGCCAAAACTTTCTGCATCATTTTGTCTTTTGAACATTGCTAAATCGGTCAATCACGAAAAAACTTTTTCGATCTGCTCGAAATTTTCTAAGTCTCAAACTTTAGTTGACTCAAGATTGATCCCAATGGTAACGGGCAAGCCCAATAGTATTTATAATGATCGGACGGGTAAGGATTCATTTGCATATACGTATACTGTCTGAAAGTTTATATGTCAAAATGTGCTTTAAAATTTTCCTGAGCCAAAACTTTCTGCATCATTATGCGTTTTGAACATTTCTAAGTGGGTCCATGACGAAAAACTTTTTCGATCAGCCCGAAATTTTCTAATCTCAAACTTTAGTTGACTCAAGATTGATCCCACGGGTAACGGGTAAGCGTAATAGTATTTATAATGATCGGACGGGTAAGGATTCATTTGCATATACGTATACTGTCTCAAAGTTTATATGTCAAAATGTGCTTTAAAATTCTCCTCAGCCAAAACTTTCTGCATCATTATGCATTTGGAACATTTCTAAGTCGGTCCATGACGAAAAACGTTTTCGATCAGCTCGAAATTTTCTAAGTCTCAAACTTTAGTTGACTCAAGATTGATCCCACGGGTAACGGGTAAGCGTAATAGTATTTATAATGATCGGACGGGTAAGGATTCATTTGCATATACGTCTACCGCCTGAAAGTTTATATGTCAAAATGTGCTTTAAAATTCTCCTTGGCCAAAACTTTCTGCATCAATATATGTTTTGAACATTTCTAAGTCGGTCCATGACGAAAAAACTTTTTCGATCAGCTCGAAATTTTCTAAGTCTCAAACTTTAGTTGACTCAAGATTGATCCCACGGGTAACGGGTAAGCGTAATAGTATTTATAATGATCGGACGGGTAAGGATTCATTTGCATATACGTATACTGTAGGAAAGTTTATATTTCAAAATCTGCTTTTAAATTCTCCTGAGCCAAAACTTTCCGCATCATTATGCGTTTTGAACATTTCTAAGTCGGTCAGTGACGAAAAAATTTATTCGATCAGCTCGAAATTTTCTAAGTCTCAAACTTTAGTTGACTCAAGATTGATCCCACGGGTAACAGGTAAGCGTAATAGTATTTATAATGATCGGACGGGTAAGGATTCATTTGCATATACGTCTACTGCCTGAAAATTTATATGTCAAAATGTGCTTTAAAATTCTCCTTAGCCAAAACTTTCTGCATCAATATATGTTTTGAACATTTCTAAGTCGGTCCATGACGAAAAAACTTTTTCGATCAGCTCGAAATTTTCTAAGTCTCAAACTTTAGTTGACACAAGATTGATCACACGGGTAACGGGTAAGCGTAATAGTATTTATAATGATCGGACGGGTAAGGACTCATTTGCATATACGTCTACTGCCAGAAAATTTCTATGTCAAAATGTGCTTTAAAATTCTCCTGAGCCAAACCTTTCACCATCATTATGCGTTTTGAACATTTCTAGGTCGGTCCATGACGAAAAAACTTTTTCGATCAGCTCGAAATTTTCTAAGTCTCAAACTTATTTGCATATACGTATACTGTAGGAAAGTTTATATTTCAATATGTGCTTTAAAATTCTCCTGAGCCAAAACTTTCAGCATCATTATGCGTTTTGAACAATTCTAAGTCGATCAGTGACGAAAAATTGATTCGATCAGCTCGAAATTTTATAAGTCTCAAAGTTTAGTTGAATCAAGATTGATCCCACGGGTAACGGGTAAGCGTAATAGTATTTATAATGATCGGACGGGTAAGGATTCATTTTCATATACGTATACTGTAGGAAAGTTTATATTTCAATATGTGCTTTAAAATTCTCCTGAGCCAAAACGTTCGGCATCATTATGCGTTTTGAACAATTCTAAGTCGATCAGTGACGAAAAAATTGATTCGATGAGCTCAAAATTTTCTAAGTCTCAAACTTTAGTTGAATCAAGATTGATCCCACGGGTAACGGGTAAGCGTAATAGTATTTATAATGATCGGACGGGTAAGGATCATTTGCATATACGTATACTGTAGGAAAGTTTATTTTTCAAAATGTGCTTTAAAATTCTCCTGAGCCAAAACTTTCTGCATCAATATATGTTTTGAACATTTCTAAGTCGGTCCATGACGAAAAAACTTTTTCGATCAGCTCGAAATTTTCTAAGTCTCAAATTTTAGTTGACACAAGATTGATCACACGGGTAACGGGTAAGCGTAATAGTATTTATAATGATCGGACGGGTAAGGATTCATTTGCATATACGTATACTGTAGGAAAGTTTATATTTCAAAATGTGCTTTAAAATTCTCCTGAGCCAAAACTTTCTGCATCATTATGCGTTTTGAACATTTCTAAGTCGGTCAGTGACGAAAAAATTTATTCGATCAGCTCGAAATTTTCTAAGTCTCAAACTTTAGTTGACTCAAGATTGATCCCACGGGTAACGGGTAAGCGTAATAGTATTTATAATGATCGGACGGGTAAGGATTCATTTGCATATACGTCTACTGCCAGAAAGTTTATATGCCAAAATGTGTTTTAAAATTCTCGTGAGCCAAAACTTTCTGCATCAATATGCGTTTTGAACATTTCTAAGTCGGTCCATGACGAAAAAACTTATTCGATCTGCTCGAAATTTTCTAAGTCTCAAACTTTAGTTGACTCAAGATTGATCCCACGGGTAACGGGTAAGCGTAATAGAATTCATAATGATCGGACGGGTAAGGATTCATTTGCATATACGTATACTGTCTGAAAGTTTATATGTCAAAACGTGCTTCAAAATTTTCCTGAGCCAAAACTTTCTCCATCATTATGCGTTTTGAACATTTCTAAGTCGGTCCATGACGAAAAAACTTTTTCGATCAGCTCGAAATTTTCTAAGTCTCAAACTTTAGTTGACACAAGATTGATCACAAGGGTAACGGGTAAGCGTAATAGTATTTATAATGATCGGACGGGTAAGGACTCATTTGCATATACGTCTACTGCCTGAAAATTTGTATGTCAAAATGTGCTTTAAAATTCTCCTGAGCCAAAACTTTCTGCATCATTATGCGTTTGGAACATTTCTAAGTCGGTCCATGACGAAAAAACTTTTTCGATTAGCTCGAAATTTTCTAAGTCTCAAACTTTAGTTGACTCAAGATTGATCACACGGGTAACGGGTAAGCGTAATAGTATTTATAATGATCGCACGGGTAAGGATTCATTTGCATATACATGTTCTGCCTGAAAGTTTATATTTCAAAATGTGCTTTAAAATTCTCCTGAGCCAAAACTTTTCTGCATCATTATGCGTTTTGAACATTTCTAAGTCGGTCCATGACAAAAAACTTCTTCGATCAGCTCGAAATTTTCTAAGTCTCAAACTTTAGTTGACTCAAGATTGATCACACGGGTAACGGGCAAACGTAATAGTATTTATAATGATCGAACGGGTAAGGATTCATTTTGCATATACGTATACTGTCTGAAAGTTTATATGTCAAAATATTTATATGTTATACACTCTCTATATTATAAATCCAGTTTTTTTATAAGAATGCTGTTGCATGAGTATTGTTATTTCGTTACCAGCATACCTAATGCGCACGCGCTGTGTTAATGCGTCCCACAAGCCTTCCATCAACGGAGTCGCAGCTGTATATATGCGAAACCCGTACCATGTAGTAATGTGTGGAAGGCGATATATTCCAGAATCTTGCGAAAAGGGTGTCGGCACATAATGGTTTGGGGACCGCCAGCACTCTCCCCCGTAGTTCGTTAAGATTCCGTATGGTATATATCACCATGTCTGGCGGCTAACACGAGACAACTCCCGTTCTCGTCGTGAATGTTAGCTGGAAATTTTTATTTATTTCCATTAATTTTTATTTACACACATATAAGATATATGTTTGCAACAGCAAAAATTTTCCTTACAAAAATTGTCAACCTTTCACCATGTAAAACATGTCCAGCACGTTTTTTATATACATATATTTCTGTATATTTTGAAAATTTCGAGCAGACAGGGAAAAAACTTTCTCACAAACGGAGGAATATACGAGCGTGCTCATGAGCATACTGGATGTTAAGGATGCTAGATTTCGGCATACCCTGCAGTAGCCTCGGCGATATGGGATTTCGGCATACCTTCTAAGGATATGGGATTTCGGCATACCTTGTAGCTAGCCACTGTTTGTGATGGCTATATGAAAAAGCAGTATGTGGCCCTTTAGCTGCAGTACTAGTATAGTCGAGAAATCCGGGTAACGCGGAGCGTAGAACAATCTAGAGGAAACGTATAAGCCTACTGAGTAAGACGGATCAGCAAGTCTGTAAGTCAAAATGTGCTTCAAAATTCCCCTGAACCAAAATTTTCGCCATCAATATGCGTTTTGAATCTTTTTAGGTTGATCTATGTTTATGACGAAAAAACTCGGATGTTCCTTCAGTTCGAAATTTAGTTGACTCGAGAATCCCGGATAACGGATAAGGTTAGTATAACTTATTATGAAGGATGGAAAACGAACATTTGCATAAGTCATCTCAAATTTGAAAATGTGTTCTAAAATTCTCCTGAGCCAAAACTTTCTGCATCATTATGCGTTTTGAACATTTCTAAGTCGGTCCATGATGAAAAATTTTTCTCGATCGGCTCGAAATTTTCGAAGTCTCAAACTTTAGTTGACTCAAGCCTGATCCGGGTAACGGGTAAGCGTAATAGTATTTATAATGATCGTACGGGTAAGGATTCATTTGCATACGTATACTGTGTAAAATTTATATCTCAAAATGTGCTTCAAAATTTCCTGACCCGGCAAAACTTTCTTCATCATTATGCCTTTTGGACATTTCTAAGTCGGTCCATGACAAAAAAAATTATTCGATGTGCTTCAAACTTTCCTAAGCCAAAACTTTCTTCATCATTATGCCTTCTGGACATTTCTAAGTCGGTCCATGACGAAAAAATTTTTTCGATCAGCTCGAAATTTTCTAAGTCCCAAACTTTAGTTGACTCAAGATTGATCCCACGGGTAACGGGCAAGCGTAATAGTATTTATAATGATCGGACGGGTAAGGATTCATTTGCATATACGTGTACTGTCTGAAAGTTTATATGTCAAAATGTGCTTCAAACTTTCCTAAGCCAAAACTTTCTTCATCATTATGCCTTCTGGACATTTCTAAGTCGGTCCATGACGAAAAATTTTTTTCGATCAGCTCGAAATTTTCTAAGTCTCAAACTTTAGTTGACTCAAGATTGATCCCACGGGTAACGGGTAAGCCTAATAGTATTTATAATGATCGGACGGGTAAGGATTCATTTGCATATACGTATACTGTCTCAAAGTTTATATGTTAAAATGTGCTTTAAAATGCTCCTGAGCCAAAACTTTCTGCATCATTTTGTCTTTTGAACATTGCTAAATCGGTCAATCACGAAAAAACTTTTTCGATCTGCTCGAAATTTTCTAAGTCTCAAACTTTAGTTGACTCAAGATTGATCCCAAGGGTAACGGGCAAGCCCAATAGTATTTATAATGATCGGACGGGTAAGGATTCATTTGCATATACGTATACTGTCTGAAAGTTTATATGTCAAAATGTGCTTTTAAAATTTTCCTGAGCCAAAACTTTCTCCATCATTATGCGTTTTGAACATTTCTAAGACGGTCCATGACGAAAAAACTTTTTCGATCAGCTCGAAATTTTCTAATCTCAAACTTTAGTTGACTCAAGATTGATCCCACGGGTAACGGGTAAGCCTAATAGTATTTATAATGATCGGACGGGTAAGGATTCACTATCATATACGTATACTGTCTCAAAGTTTATATGTCAAAATGTGCTTTAAAATACTCCTGAGCCAAAACATTCAGCATCATTATGCGTTTTCAACATTTCTAAGTCGGTCCATGACGAAGAAACTTATTCGATCAGCTCGAAATTTTCTAAGTCTCAAACTTTAGTTGACTCAAGATTGATCCCACGGGTAACGGGTAAGCCTAATAGTATTTATAATGATCGGACGGGTAAGGATTCATTTGCATATACGTTACTGTCTCAAAGTTTATATGTTAAAATGTGCTTTAAAATTCTCCTGAGCGAAAACTTTCTGCATCATTTTGCCTTTTGGACATTGCTAAATCGGTCCATGACGAAAAAACTTTTTCGATCAGCTCGAAATTTTCTAAGTCTCAAACTTTAGTTGACTCAAGATTGATCCCACGGGTAACGGGTAAGAGTAAAAGTATATATAATGATCGGACGGGTAAGGATCAATTTCATATACGTATACTGTCTCAAAGTTTATATGTCAAAATGTGCTTTAAAATTTTCCTGAGACAAAACTTTCTGCATCATGCGTTTTGAACATTTCTAAGTCGGTCCATGACGAAAAAACTTTTTCGATCAGCTCGAAATTTTCTAAAAAATTGTCTCAAAGTTTAGTTGACTCAAGACTGATCCCACGGGTAACGGGTAAGCCTAATAGTATTTATAATGATCGGACGGGTAAGGATTCATTTGCATATACGTATACTGTCTCAAAGTTTATATGTCAAAATGTGCCTCACAATTTTCCTGAGCCAAAACTTTCTTCATCATTATGCCTTTTGGACATTTCTAAGTCGGTCCATGACGAAAAAGTTTATTCGATCAGCTCGAAATTTTCTAAGTCCCAAACTTTGGTTGACTCAAGATTGATCCCACGGGTAACGGGTAAGCGTAATACTATTTATAATGTAGGACGGGTAAGGATTCATTTGCATATGCGTATACTGTCTCAAAGTTTATATATCAAAATGTGCTTCAAAATTTTCCTGAGCCAAAACTTTCTTCATCATTATGCCTTTTGGACATTTCTAAGTCGGTCCATGACGAAAAAGTTTATTCGATCAGTTCAAAATTTTCTAAGTCCCAAACTTTAGTTGACTCAAGATTGATCCCACGGGTAACGGGTAAGCGTAATACTATTTATAATGATCGGACGGGTAAGGATTCATTTGCATATACGTATACTGTCTGAAAGTTTATATGTCAAAATGTGCTTCAAAATTCTCCTGAGCCAAAACTTTCTCCATCGTTATGCGTTTTGAACATTTCTAAGTCGGTCCATGACGGAAAAAACTTTTTCGATCAACTCGAAATTTTCTAAGTCTCAAACTTTAGTTGACTCAAGATTGATCTCACGGCTAACGGGTAAGCGTAATAGAATTCATAATGATCGGACGGGTAAGGATTCATTTGCATATACGTATACTGTCTGAAAGTTTATATGTCAAAATGTGCTTCAAAATTCTCCTGAGCCAAAACCTTCTCCATCGTTATGCGTTTTGAACATTTCTAAGTCGGTCCATGACGGAAAAAACTTTTCGATCAGCTCGAAATTTTCTAAGTCTCAAACTTTAGTTGACTCAAGATTGATCCCACGGGTAACGGGTAAGCGTAATAGAATTCATAATGATTGGACGGGTAAGGATTCATTTGCATATACGTATACTGTCTGAAAGTTTATATGTCAAAAGGTGCTTCAAAATTCTCCTGAGCCAAAACTTTCTCCATCGTTATGCGTTTTGAACATTTCTAAGTCGGTCCATGACGAAAAAACTTTTTCGGTCAGCTCGAAAATTTCTAAGTCTCAAACTTTAGTTGACTCAAGATTGATCTCACGGGTAACGGGTAAGCGTAATAGAATTCATAATGATCGGACGGGTAAGGATTCATTTGCATATACGTATACTGTCTGAAAGTTTATATGTCAAAATGTTTATATGTTATGCACTGTCTATATTATAAATGTAGTTTTTTTATAAGAATGCTTTTGCATGAGTATTGTGTTATTTCGTTACCCGCATACCCAATGCGCACGCGCTGGGTTATTGCGTCCCACAAGCCTTCCATCAACGGAGTCGCAACTGTATATAAACGGAACCCGTACCACGTAGTAATGTGTGGAAGGCGATATATTCCAGAATCTTGCGAAAAGGGTGTCGGCACATAATGGTTTAGGGGCCGCCAGCACTCTCCCTCGTAGTTCGTTAAGATACCGTATGGTATATATCACCATGTCTGGCGGCTAACACGAGACAACTCCCGTTCTCGTCGTGAATGTTAGCTGGAAATTTTTATTTATTTCTATTAATTTTTATTTACACACATATAAGATATATGTTTGCAAAACCAAAAATTTTCGTTACAAAAATTGTCAACCTTTCACCATGTAAAACATGTCCAGCACGTTTTTTATATAGATATATTTCTGTATATTTACAAAATTTCGAACAGACGGGGAAAATTTTCCTCACAAACAGACGACTGTACCAGCGTGCTCATGAGCATACTGGATGTTAAGGATGCTAGATTTCGGCATACCCGGCAGTAGCCTCGGCGATTTGTCGCGATGAATTAAGGATATGGGATTTCGGCATACCTTGTAACTAGCCAGTGTTTGTGATTGCTATATTAAAAAGTAGTATGTGGCCCTTTATAGCTGCAGTACTAGTATAGTCGAGAAATCCGGGTAACGCGGAGCGTAGAACAATCTAAGAAAAAGTATAAGCCTACTGAGTAAGACGGATCAGCAAGTCTGTAAGTCAAAATGTGCTTTAAAATTCCCCTGAACCAAAATTTTCTCCATCAATATGCGTTTTGAATCTTTTTAGGTTGATCTATGTCTATGACGAAAAAACTCGGATGTTCCATCAGTCCAAATTTAGTTGACTCGAAAATCCCGGATAACGGATAAGGTTAGTATAACTTATTATTAAGGATGGATAACGAACATTTGCATAAGTCATCTCAAATTTGAAAATGTGTTTTGAACATTTCTAAGTCGGTCCATGACGAAAAAACTTTTTCGATCAGCTCAAAATTTTCTAAGTCTCAAATTTTAGTTGACTCAAGATTGATCCCACGGGTAACGGGTAAGCGTAATAGAATTCATAATGATCGGACGGGTAAGGATTCATTTGGATATACGTATACTGTCTGAAAGTTTATATGTCAAAATGTGCTTCAAAATTCTCCTGAGCCAAAACTTCCCCGTCATTATGCGTTTTGAGCATTTCTAAGTCGGTCCATGACGAAAAAACTTTTTCGATCAGCTCGAAATTTTCTAAGTCTCAAACTTTAATTGACTCAAGATTGATTCCACGGGTAACGGGTAAGCGTAATAGCATTTATAATGATAGGACGGGTAAGGATTCATTTGCATGTACGTATACTGTCTAATAGTTTATATGTCAAAACGTGCTTCAAAATTTTCCTGAGCCAAAACTTTCTTCATCATTATGCCTTTTGAACATTTCTAAGTCGGTCCATGACGAAAAAATTTATTCGATCAGCTCAAAATTTTCTAAGTCTCAAACTTTAGTTCACTCAAGATTGATCCAACGGGTAACGGGTAAGCGTAATAGAATTCATAATGATCGGACGGGTAAGGATTCATTTGCATGTACGTATACTGTCTAAAAGTTTATATGTCAAAATGTGCTTT